TACGTCATCCCTCGTAACGGAGTCGTCCCCCGAACCATCGATGCCGCACCTTAGCCCTGAAGTGAGCATTGGTAGGTGTTAAATGGTATGCTATAAGACGATGTAGACGATGACCAGGTTGCAGATGACAGCTCGAACCCGTTCAGTGGCAATTGCTTCTTGACCGATTTGAGGGAATTCTGCTTAAGTGTCCAACTACCGCAAGCAACCTTCAAGTTGTTGTTCCAATTTTTGCGGAAATACCACCCAGAGGTGCCCAAGGACCCACGAACTCTCATGCAGACACCGCGAGCATGCGTTACTGAGTCCCTCTCTAACGGCAGCTACGTCCACCTGGGCCTTAAACGCGGTCTGTTAGATGAGCTTCAACTTCGACCTTCGGCTTTGTTCCCGAAAATACGGGTTCAACTCCACATTGACGGAATGAAGCTATTTAAAGGGTCTGGCCAGTGTCTATGGCCAATCCTCGGTCGAGTCAGCTATCCTGTCCGTGAAAGTTAAGTTACAATTGTAACTTAAGTTATGTTATAACTTAACTTTTGTTATAACTTAAGTTATGTTATATAACTTAACTTAAGTGAAGTTAACTTCTCTTAAGAGTGATGTTAAATACATATGTATATAACATCAGGGTTTAGTCTGTATATGTTTAAACACAAGGAATTACTTCTAGTTTCTGTCATTATGATAACCGAAACTGATTTCTAGTGGTCACTTATTATAAAAAGTTGTTTCAATTACACTATCATGCCCTCCACCTTCCCCTCATTCCTTCAACAGCCATAACTTGCACTAAGCTAAACGCAACCTTTACTAACTGCCTTAGTATTCTCCCTATTTACTCTTCATCTGTTCATAAATTAGTTTCCTATTATACGAATTTCGGCTGCTATTTAGAAATATTTCAAGCCATCTACTAATTGCTCACTTCCATTGCTGTCAGATGCTGGCCAATCAAATCTCGAGTGTGAACTGACAGAAAAACGCGCCTCTGCCCACATTACTCTCTTCATATGCATGCATATGCAATCAAGAGAAGTGCTCACCGGAAGTCCAACTTACAGTTCATTCGATCCGAACTGGCTCTGAAAGCAGGCAATTTCTCATCCAACATATTCGTGCACTTCTTCAGACACATCTCCGATGCCGATTCAACAACCACCAGTTGTTGCCATTGACCCAGTGCATTTCTTCGTTTGCTTTCTCTCAACGTTATGCCGCATCCACTGACACGCGCAATTGACTCTACGCGTCGGTCCTTGGCATTCCTAAACATCTTCAGATTGTCCGTCCCACAACCAATCCAAAACTTATTCTCATACGGTAGAACAGCCGACTTAGCTTCGCCTTCACTGCAAACAACCGACTCTGGTGTAGAGCATCCTACTCTCTTACGAACTACCGGTATTTCCTTCTCTGGCTGTGCACTGGAAGCCTCCATCAATTCCATGGTCTTCTCAAGTTCCTCGAATTCTCTCAAACTGGCCTGACTGTCGCTTAGACGTGAGTAGGTCGAATAATTAGCAAACAGCCCATCCGCACCGTCCTGCTCTACTTCACGTTCTCCTGCTGCATCTGTCAAAGTTGCCGAATGTGAAGCAGGCAGCAGGATTTCGGGAGACTGCTGCCTCACTTCAGTGCCCTCAAACTTTTATTGTTGCAAATCTCTACATATCTCGCTACTCTCTTTCACATCTTTCTCTAAAATCTGGATAATTTCATCCAGCAGTGCAGACACATTGTCTGCACGCGGGAGTGTCCCGCTGATCGCCTCCGCTCCCACCTTTGAATCCACCGAAATCTCACTGTCATCTAATTTTATCCGGCTTTGGAATCTCGACTTCCCTGGGTTCCAACTGACAGATTGTATTGGCGCAGTTATTTGCTTGCACTGTCACGTCAGCTCGTACGACCAGGACACTGGCTGCATCTCCGTTTGCAGTCCAGTCTCACCGTAAAGAAAATCCTCAACGTCTGCAGTTGAAAGTTATGCGAATTTGTTGACGATAACAGTCTTTCCGCTTTCTCGCACTTTCCTCAGTTTGAAGGAATTGGGTGTTCTTGTCGCTCCCTCGGTTTGACAAGAGCGACGGAGTGCCTCTTGTCGGTTAAATGCTAGCACCGCCTTGCTCAGTATTTCTTAAGAAGACTTGGTCTGTTGATCCTTCCTGATTGGCTGCAGCCTGATAGGGTTCGGGTGCACGGTCACGACGCGCACTGGCCTAACATGAGCACTTCAATTTCGGTTTGTTTAAACAACACCGCCGCAGACATCTCAGCTGCATGTATGCCACTCGTAGTAGCAAGGACCATCTTAATAACTCCGGATCCCTTATCTTTGATTTAGTAAACCCCTCATGTTCGGCATTCGTACCTCGAGAACCTCGACTCGAGGACCAATTAACCTAACGCCTGCAAGCAGATGGGAGACGGCTTATCCGAGCAGTCCTCTTCCCTTCTTCCCATAGCCGAACTATGACATTTTGGCTAACCCCCCACTTCTTGTAAACCCTCTTGTTGTAGTAAAAGTGATCTTGTTAAGTCGGTCTCTCTGACTTTGTGGTTTGAGAAGCCTCTTTTTATCGGCCATCGTAGTTCGACAGGCCCGAACCCGACGAGACCAAAAGGCTTTCAACTGTCATACGATGCCCATCTGAAGCTCGTTCTCAGACCCAGCCTGGGCGCAAGCCAGACGTTCAAACGTGCGATGGCTGGGATGAGGAAACCCAAAGAGGGTCGATGGTGCGATTTTGACGAACAAACTCCTGCGGATGAGTAAAGGCGTTGAATTTAGGGTGGATGGGTCCAGGGTATTTAGCGAGGAGCTGCCAAAATGGCTATCCGATTGTGTTCAGGACGGCAATTTGGCGGAACGCCATATGGAGAGAGATAATCTGGATGGTAGGAGTGATGGCGTGGTCCTACCGACAGGACTGCCAGCAGTGAACTAAAAATCGAAGGCGAAATGGAATCCTGCACAATACGCAGGGTAGAGTCGGAGTATGGGCATGCAGACCTCTTTGATCAGCAATATGTCCTTGTAAATAATTAAAATTTAGAAACAGAACTTATCTATTTACTGGAAGCAGAACTTAAGTCTACAATGGTTGTCTTGCCCAAAGCTTGGTATTGCTGAATGGTATGGCGAGGCGGTAAGGATATTCTTAAAATCACTTGCAAAACAATCCAACTGATGCCTGGGACAGAAAGTTATTGTCTCCATGAATTACTCTGCTAAGCATGCTGTTTTTGCAACACTTGATGTCGATACTTAAGAGTCCATCAAAACAAATCCGATCCATATTAATTTTTATTACTTTCCAGGCCTTTGTTCTGTTAGGAATTTCACCGGGCGCACTAGATTGCAACGCCGTGCGAGCTGGAGCCGTCCAATACATTTGTACTAGTGGCAGTTTGACTGTCGTTTCCGACGATGTCCGTCATGGGTTCCATAGCGGGGTGGTAGCAGGCGCAGTGACTTGCGCAGCTCTTACCCCAATCTATCCTCCCCAACCTGGGCCTGGTGTTATGACAGAGTCAAGAGATCTGCGACGGGAGAAGGCGCAGGTGGTTGATATGGCGAAAACCCGCGCCTTAGTACCTCCACCGCATCATCTTGGATCCCACTGAATGAGAAAGCCGTGGAGGCCACTTTAAGAAGGAGCCATTGCAACTTGACTTCTAGTCCCCCAGACGACCACTTCACACAAATACGCACTGGACTGACTGTGAGGTCTATTTTTGATCGTCGGTGTACAACCTCCCAAGCCATGGCTTTGAGCGAACCGCGATAGCCTCAATCGCATCAGATTGTTTCTAGTGTCTGACTATGTACGTCAGTCACCTGCGTCCTCTCCCACCTCCTGTCCTCTTGATTGTGTTGACACCGAACCCAGGTAGGGAAGGAGGAGTGCTATTGATGCTGCATCAGTCTACTGTCACTATTAACGAACTCACGAAAGCCACACTGATCCCACCTTGCTGTGGAGCCCACGGTGGACATCGTCAGATACGACGGTTGAAATGTTAGGTGTTCTTATGTGGTGCATACGTTGAGGAGAATGTGTTTGACGATGTGGTCTAATCTACGCTTATTAGTCGCATATTTTTGGTGAGGTTCATGTGGCCGAGTAGGTCCATGTAATGGCTGAATGTGAGAGGACAATACGGGGAGTTGAGACGATAGAGGTGGATGTTTTTAGTGGTCCAGACACTGGTTTGCCAGTCTGTGCGATAGATTCACAAGCAACCCATTAGGCCGGTGCGGGACGTGCATGTTTGGCAGCTATGTAGGAAATACAGGTTAGGGGATTTTAAATCGGTTGCTGTTGTGCTGCTGTTAGTGGTGTACGCGCTGGTCGATTGGAAGTTAATTGAGCTGGGGACGGAAGGGTTGTTATGTGTGTCAGGTGTGTCGATTCTGCGGTGAATTTGGCCGTCCTGTATACGCATGTGGCTGAATAGGCCCATGCGGTGTATGAATGCGCGTGGACAGTGTGAGTGGATGTAGCGAGCGTATCTGGAGCTCCTGGCGCTGGTGGGCTGGTCGCAGTCCGATGAAGACTAGAGCGTTGCGTGAGGTGATTTTACAATCTCAACAAGGACAGGTTAGTACTGTGTCCTCATCACTGGGGGTTAGAGTGGTGATAGTGAGGGAAGGGGTTGGGGAGGCGTCGGTAACGTTCTAACCGGTGGCGGAAATAGGAGAACTGGTAGGCGTCACCATCATCGCGGGGATTGTGGCAGGGGCGGTGAAGGTGTCGATCGACGGCGACGGAACATCAAGAGTACGACCATTAGTTGTGAGGGAGGTAGTCGAGGGGGGGGGGGGTTGGTGCAAGGAGACAACGGGGACGTATGTGAAGGCAGCAGGTGTAGTTGTTAGGTTGTCTAATCATTGAGTACTGAGACGTCTGGTGAGACCTGCCCTCTGCAAAAGAGTTCGTTCGCAGTGTGGGCATGTAGGAGGAGATTAAGTGTTGATGGTTGATCATTTTAGACTACGGATCTCTGCCCCCTACAGCAGCATGGTCAAAATGACTGCTTTGTACATCTTCAGTTTGGTGTTGAGGTGGAGACCGTGGCGATTCCATATGGAGTTCTGCAACCAACCGAAGGCCTGGCTGGCTTTTGGGATACGGTGACCCCCTTTGTCGCCGATTACGATGCAGCATGCGTATGCTGCCTAGGTAGGTGAAGTTGTCCACGATCCTCACCTGGGTCATTGTAAACGGCGTTGGGCGACGGTTGATGCATGACCGCCGTTTACCCGTGCTGACGGTATGCTCGAAGTTGGCGTAGCCGGAGGCAATGAGGTCCATGCTCCGTTGCATATCTGCTTCTGTCACGATGTTGTGCATGCAGTCATCCGCGAAAAGCAGGTCGTGGAACACAGTCGTGGAGAGATGCGTTGAGGTATGCATCTGCAGGCGGTTGAGAGAATGGACGTCGGTCTTGTAGGCGATGCGGATCCCGGGGCGTTCTTCACCGTAGGCGTCCATCAGCATGGCAAAGAACATGAGACCGAAGAGGGTAGGTGCGAGGACGCAGCCTTGCTTCACTACACTGGCCATTGCGAATGTTTCTGAGGCGATTTCATCGTCCGTGGCGCGCGCCTTCATGCCATTGTGGAGCTGACGCACCATCCGAGTGAATCGTTCAAGACAGCCGAATTTCTGCATGATTTTTCACAGTCCGTCACGATTCACCCTGTCGAAGGCTTTCGTCAGGTCCACGAAGGCAGAGTACAGGTGGGTCCGCATCTCCTGGCACGCCTCCTGAAGTGGACGGGCGGCGAAGACCATGTCGGTGGTTCCGCAGTGACGGCGTAGGCCGCAGGGATTTTCCTGCATGAGCCCCTGTTCCAGATCTTTATAGGGACGGTTGGGAAGGATGCGAGCGAAAATCTTCCCGGCGATGTTGAGGAAAGAGATACCTCGGTGGTTGTCGCAGGGCTGTCTGTTTCCTTTCCGCTTATAGAAGTAGACAATTGGGATGCCCTTAAAATCCTGACGGACTTATCTATGACACCACATCTAAAAGAACGCTGTGAGGTGATCCATAGGTTGGGAGCTACTGTGCTCGTAGATCTCATCAGTGATTGCGTCCGGTCTAGGCACATTACCGCTGGAGAGCTGCTGCACGGCCCTGATGGTTTCGCGGAGAGAGGGCGCGAAGTCGGGATCGGCGTTGGTCTCCACTTGAGATAGACGGGCGATGGCGACGTCAGAGATGATGGAGGGACAGTTGAGGACGCCCTGAAGTGCTCGGCCCATCGCTGCATGATTTGCGGCTTCTCAATGAGTAAGGTAGTTTTGTCGGCGCTAAGAAGCCGAGCGGTGTCTTTGGATGTTGGATCGTAGACAGCCTTGGTCGCGGCGAAAAAGTTCTTCCATTTGCTGCAGTCCGTGTATCCTTGGATCGCTTCGGCCTTGCGAGCCGCTCAGGCGCCCCCCCCCCCCCCCCCCCCATTTCCCGCAGCTTCGGTTTCAGAAGGCGGCGACTGCGGTGAAAGGCTCCTTTGTTGTCGTCAGTGTGGCGGCTGACGTAGGCTTTGTGCAGACAATTCTTCTCAACGGGCAGGTTGCTGATGGCGGCGTAATTGTCGTCGAACCAGTCCGATGTTGGCTACTTACGCGACTGAGGACAGCCTGGGCGGTTGACTCAACCGTGTCCCTCAGTTGACCTCAATTCTCCACGTAGGTGTTCTCGTCGACGGCCGCGGCGACTGGAAGTTTGTCAAGCCTTTGAGCTAGTTCACTGCTGAAATGATAATGGTGAGCAGGTAAAGACAGAAAAGTGACATACGGTTTAACTGGTGGTCGCATATCTTGAGGTCTCCTGCGAGGCTGTAGGCGAATACGCATCTTTGAGATGACGAGGCGACAGTCGATCCACCCGTCGGCACCCGGGATCGCTTTTGTCACCAGCACGTCCAGTTGGCCTCGCCTTCTGACGACGGTATAGTCCAGCAGGTGTCACTGATGCGACCGAGGATGCATCCAGGTGGCCTTCGCCCACGTCAGGATGAGACGAAAAGGGAGCAGGCCATGGTCATTTGAGCCGTTAGGACCATGGAAACCTAACCCTCCTCTCCAGACAGCGTGGTTCGTGCCGACTCGGGCCTTGAAGTCACCAAGGACAATCAACTTATCCGCCTTCGACACAGTCGCCAGGACGTCATGCAGGTCCTCGTAGGATTTGTCCCTTGCGGCGTCTGGGCTGGTCGTTGGCAGAGCGAATACACCGATGATGGTGGCAAATTTGTCTATTTGAAGATGTAGGCGGAGGCTCATCAGGCGATCGTTGAGGCCCTGCGGCAGACAGGGCAGTCGTCCCACAATGTCGTTCCGGATGGAAAAGACGACACCCGCGTCCCGTCGCTCTGCTTTGGGACGACCGCTCCGGAAGAAGGTGTGGCCGACACCCACATCCTCCAGTTGGCCTTGTTCGGAGAACCGTGTCTCGCTGAGTGCAGTGATGTCCACCTTGTAGCGCGCCAGTTCCCGAGCCACTACCGCCGTCCTCCGTTCCGGTCGGTTGTCCCTCGGATTGTCTAAAAGGGAACGAACATTTCAGGCTGCCAGGGTGAGCGGACTTACCGTGCGAGTCTGTCGAGTGGGGTGGCGGAAGGGAGGACGGGGGGATGAAATAGATTTCTGTTCAGAAGATGAAGATGCGATCACTGGAACAAGAAATTTATTTGCCTGACGTTTCGGATTCTCACTGGAATCTGTCATCAGAGACATTCGCAGATAAAGGTGATGGTGGCACCAGGAGTGCAGTTTTTATAGCACGTGGCTGCCGTGCGACCGCATGCGCACTGCAATTAACATTTCTCGCAATCACCGCTGGGATCGTAATTGATGCGGTGGTGGCTTGTCGGTCCTACTCCGAGTCGGTAATTGCCGCGATTTCATTATCCGTGCTGCATGCTGGTGTGACGATTGCTCGGCAAACTGGCTCACTGTCACCGTGTTGATTGCTCGCCCGCGCCCTCCCCACGTGACTGATCCTCCTGCCCAGGGAAAATCGCAGTACGGAATAGGGTACCGGGAGGTCAGTGTGCTTGTTGATGGATTGCGGGCCTGAGAACCATGACTCGAGCAGCTCGCGGCTCACGCGGTTGTCACCCCTTGCGAGGATTTCGGCCTCTTGAGATTTGAAAATATGGCCGGGTCCCGTCGAGTGTGCCGCCACCTGAGAGTTAGCGTCTCCCCGCCTCACTGCTGCTGCGTGCTCGGCAATTCGCGTACGGAGTAATCTCCCAGTTTCTCCGACATAATTGCTTTGTCCGCAACTACACCAGATCCGGTAAACAACTTCAGACTTTTCCTGCCGTGGCAGCGGGTCTTTTGGCCTCGTGACTTGGCGCCTAATGGTTGCTTCCGGCCTGTGTGCAACCCCAACTCCAAGTGGAGTGAGAAAACGACTGACGGCTTCCGAGACGTTCTTCGCGTACGGAAGAGCCCGCCAAAATTTGGGGCCGGTTGGATTTGGTCTCTGGTGTCCTTTTCGTATGCACTGGTTGACAAAGTTGCGCGGGTAACCATTGGCTCTCATTACCCGTCGAAGATATTGTAATTGAGCAACCTTGTCTTCCATTTCACTGAAGTGCGTCTCAACGCGCCGGTGTAGCGCCCTTACGCAACTGCGTTTGTGACTGATCGGGTGGTTGCTATTGAAGTTCAGTATTTGCGTCGTATTTGTCGCTTTCCTGAACACTTTGGTTTTTAGGCCACCACAATCTTTGCGGCAGACGAGGACATCCAGGAAGGCCAGCTGGTTTTTTTCCTCCTCTTCCATCGTAAATTGAATGTCCGGGAAGACGGCGTTAAGTTGTTCTTTGAACATCAGCACCTGATCCCGTTCGATGACGACGAAGGTGTCGAAGGACCCCGCCTTGCGGGGGTGAGCAGTACTGTCCTTAAATAAGGCTGCTTAGACATCCCAGACGGCTGCCGGACTTTACTATGGGCCACAACTGTTTGATGAGAGGACGATCCGATTTGACCTTGGCCGCTTACGTGATTGCATGTCGCCCCCTCCATAGGACATTCTGAAGGGGGGGGGGGAGACGGGCGGAGGGAAGAAGGATAGAAGACGGGAAGCAGAATTTCCCTTCTGTCTTCGAACTAACTGAAACGTAGACGGTGGGCAGACAAATCCAACACAACGGTCTTCATCAGGACGGCAATTCGCTTACCTGGTGGTCACTTGATTTGTGGACTCCTGCAGGGCTGCAGAAAAAGAATGTATATCAGAGTAGAGAGTATGGAGAGTGATAAACTAAGGAAAGGTTCGAGGGAGTGGAAAGGGACCGGTCTGCCGGTCAATAGCTTGCTGAGTGTTGGAAATGCAAGTGTGAGCAGTCAAGCACAATCAAGCGGTATTCGACTTACCTCGGGAATTCCTACGGGGTCGCTGACGAAGGCTCATCCGGGAGATGGCGATGCGATGATTTGTGTGACCAGTGGTGGTAGGAGGGGAAAAGAATTTCCGTGTATGGAATGGCACACACGGACACTTGCATCTGATTTCGCCCGTCGGTCGAGGCGGTCACCTGGGTGTGGACGCTAGACATAGCCCAGTTTCGGTGAGCCACACGTGGAAGTTGTGTGCGAGTTAATGGACTCTAGGCGTAGCATACACCTGCAAGCAAGTGGGCGACCTACTACGACCATCACGTGGACACACAGCTGAACACCCCTACACCCAAATCACACGATAGTTCAGAACAATATCCACTGTGGGCTCCACATAAATGTAAAGCAGGCAAGGTGAATTGCGCGTAAGTCAGTTTACGGTTAGCGTAGGCTTGCGTAGCATCTTCCTTATTTTTCTTTTCCATGCCTGGGCTCGGTGTCAATACATAGTCAAGTAAACCGGAAGTCAGAGAGGACGCATGTGGCTGGCGCGGCCGAAGTCGCCCCCAGGCGTGCCGCCACACCCGGCTAGGATGCCACGGATTGGGAGTGTCATAAAGGCCAAATTGAGAAGGAGCCGTTGCAGCCTGACTCCTAGACCACCACTCCCTCACCCCAGACACTGAGCTGACTGCGAAGTCCATCAGTTGACAACCTTCCAAGCCACAGTTTCAAAAGCGTCAGATTGTTTTTGGCGATGAAATTACTCTAAGTTGTCTACCTCACTTTCACTTCCTATTACCAGGTCCCAGCCATTGTTCGAACCGGTCAGTTGACAGGTATGGAGCTTTGGCGCGTTGGCTGATATATCTAGTGACCTTGGCCGCGCGCGCCACGTGCACGACCTGGCTCCCCAACACAAGCACCAGGATTTCACACAACGGGGCTTGGACGGCATATATCTCGCATGCGTAAGAGCGTGCGAATGTCAGGCTATTTCGACTTCATTTTATTAATGCGGTCTTTTGGGTGCATACTCCCATAGAGAAATTCCAAAACCCTCTTTTAGGAAGGATTCGTGTTGCGCGGGAACTAGCATGTATATGGCCCGCATGAATGACGAATTTTTGTCGCGCAAGTACTGCACGAATGCTCGTCAACAGAGCACGATGGGCTTGGGAGCAGAAAATGCGACGGGTATTATAAGGAGCTACTTCACGTGGAAGCCATCAGTGTGTTTCCGGCACAGTAGCTGATCTCATCGATTTTGGTGTTTTTACTTGTCAGGTATTTATGCAGGTGGCCATACCTATAGGCCTCATTGTAACTCAGACTCCTGATTAATCCAATCACCGCATCGGACAACTGCTGCACTGGAGAATCCATTCGACCGTTTATTGATTTTTCATAGCCCCCAATCTCTAGCGGCCCCACCATTCGCCTGGCCCTTACTGGTTGGCGCGGACCCCTGATGAATGCCAAAGCACACTCTTCGCCATAAGTTCGCTTCGGCCCTTCACTATGGAGTAAAAGCCTTCTCCTTGTGTCGTTCGCCTAATTTTTCCCCCCAGAATCGTACATGTTTGCCTGATTTCAGTATGACTTTTAACTCTAATTGTAGGCTTCAGATTACTCACCGGGCTACGGTTCCTATAAATGTTCCCTACGAAAATACTACTTCACATTCAACACGGCATTACATGCAAATAACTGAAGGCAGATGATTGGTTGCGGGTCACTGCATCGGGGACCAGGTGACGTTCTACAGGAGGAGTCTGTGTGATGAAGTTGAGTAACCCTGTGCTGGCTCGAGCTTCGAATCAGACAATGTGACCGGCGTTATAGTGGCGGATGGCCAAAAACTTCACGGGATGAAGTAGGCTTTCAACGCTCTCTTCCGCGAGCACTTCGGATTCCTAGTCGGCTCCACGGGTATCCATCCCTCCCTTCGAATGTTGCTGTCGTTTATGAATTCCATCGTCCTTCCCACTTTTTGTGGTTCCTGGGTCATGGGGGAAGGGCTTTCGCCAGACCCCTCTCCTTTTATTTATAGTCGCAATCAGACAAACGAAACCCATGAGAGATTACCCAATTGACTCAGTGCCTCAGTTCTCGTCCGATACCCGTCACATCAACGAATCGCAGATTGAGATGGCTGACGCGCTGTCCAGACCATTGCAGTCGGCGCAGTTCTTCAACAATACCTCGCAGGTCAAACTCAATCCCCAGCCTTCCTTTGCAGAGTGTCGTCTCCTGGGCAGTAGCACCAGAGCACATCTGGACAGGAGCTTCTGATCGTCTGCTTGTCCGTTAATCACTATTTTAAGTGTAGGGCTTTCGCCATCTTCGCTAGCTACAGGCCCCTCTCCTTTGATTTACGGTCGCAACCAGACAAACGAAACCCAAGGGAGATTCCCCAACTGACTCACTGTATCAGTTCTCATCCGATATCCGTCACGTATATGAATTGCAGAATGAGATGGCTGACAAGCTGTCCAGACCATCAGATGGTCATAGGCATATCATATCGGCGACTGATATCGCTGAAATGGCCTAGCGGTTCCATCTTTGACATGTGCGTCTACACACCCTAACTGTACGACCTCCATCTGACTACAACTGACAGTAACATCCGCTGTGACTTGCCCGCCACCTCCCAGCGTCCGTCGTGCTACCCATCCGTACACCGAAGCATCTTTTGCTTCCTGCGTGACCTATCACACCCATGGAATTCAGCGACGGTCGAATTGGTGTCCGAGAGCCTCACCTGGTCTGTCTTATACAGTGGACCAAAACTTTCGACAAGGGCCTGCCTCGGCTCTCATCGGAGCAAGATCTGTCGACACGGCAAAGCTCCGTCGTCATTTTCTTCTAACCGAGTGCTTGATCAAACCACGTCCACGACGATGTTACAGACCTCCGCTTTTCTTTTATAGCTGTCAATACCTTCTCAACTGTGTGGACCGATTCATCCATTGACCGAAGGACATTCCACTGACGAATGTCGAGACGAGAACGGTGACCAAGACATTTCTCAGTGCCATCGTCGCTGCCACTTTACCGTAACTCCTGACTACGACGCACGATCTGAGCCGCACCCCTTTCGATCTCGCCTCCTTTTCAGGCTTTACCGAAATCTTTTACCCAACTCCGAACGAAATGGTCGAGCAGTTTCATCGCCACCCGAATACCCCCTTACACGCCACAGGGTATCCAGAAAACTGGATCGAGCACCATCCAGCGGTACTGTTGAACACGCACTCGGATCTTGAATTTTCTGCCCCCTACATGGTGTTACGTGCCATTTTCAGACTCCGTGCTGAGGTGCTCTCCCAGTCCCTCGCTGTGTATGGGAGGATCCAATCAACCACCTCCCCGGCTAGGACGAGACCAATTACCTCCAAGTGTTATCTGGAATATTGGCTTGGCGAAAAGTCCCACCTCTTGTATCAGTGTGACGCAGAACGATTGCCTTTGGAAGAATCCAATGACGACCTTTCCTGGATTGTCTCTCGAGTCACAGAGACGTTCCACATCCAGCACCACGCTCGCATTTGGGTTGTGAGCTTGGAACGCTTCAAAACTGCTGTCCTAGATATGGCAGTTGAGAAGCCCTATGGTCCCAATCCCTGGATCCCGAACCTCCCCTGTCTTCTGTTACTCAATACCCCAGCTTCTAACTGCATCTCGGTTTATTTCCTCCTCCTCCTCCTCCTCCCCCTCCCCTCCTCTTCTTAGCCAAACTACCACACCTAACACATATTTGAGAGCCAGCCCGGACCATTGTCCCCACAACGTTTGCTTGAATACACAGTCCGCTAGACCAAACATTCACCCACAAACGCAGTATCCACGGTGGAAAAGGGATCTAGGAGTGCAACGAACCCACGGCCTCTGAAAATACGGATGGGGCTCAAGACAAAAAAGACTGACTGCTTCTCTAGAACTCATATTAAACACATGGAGCAAACATGGATCGTGTACAGGCATTGGCAGGACAGAGTGCCGATGAAAGTATTCAAGTGTATGAATAAATTTGGAGGAGAATAAGGAGATTGTGAGAGACCAGATACATGGCCTACGGCAATATGACTGATGATCAAAATGGAAGCATCACTGTTGTTCGAGAGTTCGTTGTAGATGCACGTAACAAACATGAATCAGATACAGGCGTTGGCAGCGCAGCATGCAGATGAAATTATCCAGATTTTAGAGAAAAGAGAAAAAGAGAATAAGGAGATAGTGAGTGATTTACAACAATGCAAGCTGGAAGAGATTGGAGTGAGACAGGAGTCTCCTGAATTCCTGCCGCTCACTTCACATTCGGCAACTTGTGCAGATACATCAGCAGGGCGTGAAGTAGAGTGCAGCAGTGTGCATGGACTGTTCGCTAATCATTCGGTCTACACATCATCTTGTGCGAGGGAGGTGAGTTGGAGGGAGGTCGACGAAGTTGAGAGGTGACCTGCAGTGATGGAAACCTCCACGGGACAGCGATGAGTGGAAAGACGGGCAGGTCATGAGAGAGCAAGTGCGTCTAACCCGAGGTACGCCGTTTGTGGAAAAACAAGGCTAGACGGACTGCTGTACCGAGAGACAGGCTGAGATCTTGACCGGTGTTCCGACGGAGAGCTGAACGCCTTCAATAATCCGAGGGATCTGTCATGGGATTTATCATGCCTGCTAATGGATGCAACGTAAGGCTGATAGAAAGCAGGTGGAGTGAATGAATGAATGAGCCACTGACAGCAACTGGCGATTGTTCAGCAGCAGGCATTTTGGAGCTGCCTGGGCTGTTGCATGACAAATTTCCTGCCTCCAAAGCCGTACTCAGGGATTGTTGTCGACAGGAAGTAGGTCTCCTGGCGGCGGCTCCTCTCACTTGCATGCATGGAAGTTCGGTTATGTGGATGCACCCCCTGCCAATCCCTCAGAATATTACCTACACACTCGAGATTTGACTGGATCAGATCTGACACTGATGTCAATGGCTGGCGCAGTTATTGTATTCTGACATCAAAACTATTCTACTTTACATTCAAAAACAGATAGGTGGACATGGTCTAAACTTTCGAAGGAGGGTAGGCTAGCTTTATCGGCTAGACTAACACAAATACCACGTAGAAGGCACCAGTTCTCGTCCGACCACCGAAGTTAAGCTACGTTGGGCTCGGTTAGTACTTGCATGGATGACATACCGCTAAGAGAAATTAACTTTTCATGGAGATTTGCCTGGTTCCTGTGAATTTCCGAGTGATGCCAATCTAGAGCAACGTCTTAATCGCCCAAACAGACAAATACGTCTGTCATATTTCGGAAATCTGGACTAATTCTATACGGAGCGTTCACATTTTTAGCCTTTTCGCCTTTTACGCATGTGCATCTTCGGCAAATGTTCTCCTGTCCCCACAGGTTAATAAACCAGTTTGCAACAGGCTTTTCTATTCAAAGACAGACTCTTGTCAATCCCTTTCAAACTAATGTTCCACCTTCGAGTATTGAAGTCCGTCAAACACAACATCTACTCCATAACTCACGTTATCACGACTGTCTATCTTGTCCACTGACGGGCAAGGTCACCAATTCAGCGGCAACGGTGATGTCGGCCGGGACACGCATTTCACAGAGACCTCATCAGCTGACGATCTGTGTGGAGGAATCGCCTGATGCCCTGAATTATCCCTGAGGCAATAATGACGAAACTCCCTACACACCAATTAACAGACCTAGTCCTATCTACCGGTTGGAGCTACCAATTCAAAACTAGACGTTCACGGAGCTAAAGATCTCGACTAGACCGCTCCATTGGCAAGCCTATCAGACATACAGACAGACGCAAAGAGTTCTCGAGGTGCATTTGGCCGACACTAGTATTCGAACAGTTCTGCGGAACTTCGTGCGTTGTATCCGTCCTCTCGGGGAGTAAGGACACAAACCATGCATAGCCTACTAAACTTGGTCTAGAAATTAAACAGCAGGCAGTTCCGTAGAAACGAGTAAGTCTTCCGGCAGTATTTGTTAACCAGGCTTTCTTCATCAGTGTCTTGCTAGTAGCTGTATCCGGTTGGATTACAGCAAGTGCATTCTAACACAAGCTACCCAGACTTTGCGAGTGCGATTGACTCTTAAAAGGCCCCAAACTCCAATCCACTTTTTATGCATATGCAGTGCAATACAAACTTGCAGAAATGCACGCTCCCCTCATATGCATGCATATGCAAGCAAGAATAGTGCTCACCGGAAGTCCAACTTACAATTCATTCGACCCAAGCTGGCTCTGAAAGCAGGAAATTTCTCATCCAACAAATTCGTGCACTTCTTCAGACCCGTCTCCGATGGCGATTCAACAACAACCAATTGCTGCCATTGACCCAGTGCATTTCTCCGTTTGCTTTCTCTCAACGTTATGCGGCATCCACTGAGACGTGCAATTGACTCTATGCGACGATCCTTCGGATTCTTGAAGACCTTCAGATTGTCCGTCCCACAACCAATCCAAAACTTATTCTCATACGGTAGAACAGCCGACTTAGCTTCGCCTTCACTGCAAACGACCGACTTTGGTGTAGAGCATCCTACTCTCTCACGAACTACCGGCATTTCCCTCGATGGCTGTGCACTGGAGGCCTCCATCAATTCCATGGTCTTCTCAAGTTCCTCGAATTCTCTCAAACTGGCCTGACTGTCGCTCAGACGTGAGTAGGTCGAATAATTAGCAAACAGCCCATCCGCACTGTCCTGCTCTACTTCACGTTCTCCTGCTGCATCTGTCAAAGTTGCCGAATGTGAAGCAGGCAGCAGGATTTCAGGAGACTGCTGCCTCACTTCAGTGCCCTCAAGCTTGTATTGTTGCAAATCACTACACATCTCGCTACTCTCTTTCACATCTTTCTCTAAAATCTGAATAATTTCATCCAACAGTGCAGACACATTGTCTGTACGCGGTAGTCTGCCCGTGACTGCCTCCGCCGGTACCTCATCAGTCCCGCAGCCCACGGCCGCTGTTGTCCTGCCTTCATTCCAACTGTCATGGCAGATGGTAGTGGGAGGGTTTGTCGCTTGAATGGCCACGTCAACTGTCAGACTGCGTTCTGGCTGTTCAAGCAACCACAGCACTGGCCCGGCCTCTGTCTGTACCGACGCCTCACAACGAAACGAATACACGGAGTTGGTATTGGAGTTGGCGAATTGGGCGTCGACAACAGCATTTCCACGCCCTTGTGTGCGCCCCACTTTGAGGAGCTGGACAGAAGGTCGTGAGTACTGCTGACCCATTTCTCACTGGCAGTCGTCTGTCAGCAGGTTCGCGCGTTTGGACAGGCGGGCCGGAAGGCAGGCGGGCGCAGATTGAATTTGAATGAGTGGTGAGTCATCGATCGGTGGCGTGGCGTGGCGTGGCGTTGTCTATCGACCAGCCCACCAGGCGTTATCACACCCCTGGAAGAAATTAACATCCAGAAATGGAGACATTGGTGCCGCTTCACCTTCTACCTCAAAATTCGCAGTCAGCGCACAATCCGATGGTGGAACGGTCCTCACCTCAGTACACGTATTTTGGCCGTCAGAATGGCGACCTGAGTGCTTTATTCAAAGGCGTTCATGTCGGGAGACAGAAGCGCTGTTTATTATTTTCGTATAGCAAATAGGGATTGCTGTAAACATGTGCACATATTAAACACCAGAATTCCAAATGCCACCTTCGATGTAACCCAGGGCAGTTAACGTAATTCAAAGTGCTCCATTATCAAAAAATAAGGCGCCATTCCTACCAGTTGGTCAAGTGAATGGAGTTCGCTTAATGTTCTAGGCGGTGCTTTAGAGTTAGCCAAAAGTGAAGTCTGCAATTAGGGTAAATTGTCCAGCTGAGTGAATAAATAAGATCTCTATCTGCCGACGCAGTGGAGTACTTAATGACGCATTTCAACTGCGTCCCCTACCTGTGCTGACAGCATCCTCCCACTGGCTAGCAGAGAGCCTGATCTCAAGCCTTCCTTCTACCTTTTACTCAAACAAACGCCTCATTTGAGCAGTTATATGCCCCTCACACCCGGACTCACGTTAACTTATACGCACACATTTGCCAGTTAGTCGGTGCATCCACTATTACTAATGGCGTGGTACTTCAGTAAATATTCTACTGAGTAAACCTTACCCTTAGCCTCCTTCTCCGGGACGTCTCCTTGGTTGTAGCGTGCTACAACTCTTCGGATGTGAGCTTCTTACGGTCTGTTTTACCGTCAAAACACCTAGCCCACCGAGAAGTCACTATCCTCACTGACTATAAGTAGCTCATGTTGGCCTTATGTTCCAACTCCGAGCAGCTTGATCGACGGCGGATATGTCATCTGGACTACATCCGCCAATTGAATTGAGGCATCTGTCAGGTTGACAGAGCGCAGAATGCGATAGATAAGACAGTGTCCCCCCTCTACATCTCAAATCCTCATCCTTCCCAATGCATAACACTGACCTCACTGCACTGGTTACTGAACCGTGCTGAGTCAAGTTCATCCACAATGACGATGTCGTGGGTCACCAACTACAGGACGACTCGTCATGACTCATCCGCCATACGCCCTTCATATTTCCTCGCAATCACTCCCAAACTGGGGTCCTAGCCACCACTACCAGCGCTACCACACTGGCGACTGACCGGTTCGTGTGACCCGACATACAGAAGATCGTGGCAACTTGGACACACACCTGAATCCGCTTCAATCGCAGCAACGTCTATCGACAAAACAGGGTCCCGACTGGTATTGTCGCCACCCACGACGCTCACTTCAGTCCAATCCAGCTAGACACTGAGCTTACATCTTCCTCCTCATGGCTGCACTCGCCTTCTTACCTGCGTCAATCAATCGACCCCTCAACTCAAAGCTATTTCACTCCTGCCAAATGTTCTGACAGCGACTGTGGTCAAGGCGGTGTTCCGTCACTGGGTCGCCAACCCTGGCGCCGCATCCACCCATTATGACAGATCGTGCATCCCACTTGGAATCTAACCTTCTCCAAACTCCTCTTGCATTTTAAGCTGCCACTGAACATGGACCCTTGCTTATCACCCGACTGCGGACGTGATGGTCAGGCGCTTTCATCGCCAACTGAAGTATCTACTGTGCGCCAGTGATAATAAGCAAAACTGCTCTGACCACCAACTATACGCATCCCTGACCGTTGGTTACTCATGCTTCTGAGATCGCATCCATCTTTTGACGTCTTTTAATCGCCAGCCTTCCATCTGGTCTGGAGGAAGGATGTAGTGGTCGTGCACTCCAGATGGCAATAGCGACCGAGAACCTCTTGTTGATCTCAAGCCTTCCTTCCAGCTTTTACTCACAACACATAACTCATTCGAGCAGTTAAATGCCCCTCACACCCGGACCCACGTTAACTTATACGCACACATTTGCCAGTTAGTCGGTGCATCCACCATTACTAATGGCGTGGTACTTCAGTAAATATTCTACTGAGTAAACCTTACACTTGGCCTCCTTCTCCGCGAAGTCTCCTTGGTTGTAACATGCTACAACTCTTCGGATGTGAGCTTCTTACAGTCAGTCTTACCGTCAAAACACCTAGCCCACCGAGAAGTCACTATCTTCACTGACCATAGGCAGCTCTTATTGACCTTATGCTCAAACTTCGAGCAGCTTATTCGTCCGCGGATCTGTCATCTACACTACCTCCTTCCTCTGTGCCTCGTATGCATTTATCGATACAGAGCTCCTATTCGAGAGGAATTTCCTACATAATCTCCGCTTGTTATTCACTTCTTTTTTAAATCTTGTGTTAGCCAGTGGGGTCTGCTGTTCAGATTCTTCCGTGAAATATGACAGTGGTCTCTGAGTAGAACGTGCAATAACTCATTAAACCAGTCACAATCCTTGATTATGCCACCGGAAAAAGCTGATTCCCAGCTTATGGTGCTTAGTTCAGCTTTCATTTGGGCAAAGTTACCGCGCCAAATGTTCTTTCTAACCCTGGTGGCTTGTTCGGACAGAGAAAAAGATGGACTACTTCCATAACAGTACGACGCGGTCGCTTGGACTACAGAGGAACCTAGTTAAAAGGCTAATCCGCAGGACGCGGCTACTTTCGAGAAAGATCTACTGAATCGAGCCGCAGAAAATCCTAAGTTATTCTATGTTTATATAAGAAGAAGCACACGGAACAGAGACCCAATCCGCTATTGAAAGCTAGTGATGACCTAGAACTCAGTGAGGACGGAGAAAAGTTAGAGCACCGTTCGCAATTACTTATGCCCACCTTTATGAAGGAAAGCGCATTTCTTCCTTCCGACTACGACATAGTGGACAGGCCAAAGATTGAGCACGTCTCTTTCGCCGAAGCTATAGTCTCAAAGAACTGTTGACGCTGAATGGGTCTAAATCACCTGGGCCGGATGACATACCGTCCAAATTGTTGAAGGAGCTTGCTGGAGAACTATCTAAACCACTGTCCATACTCTTCCAAGCTTCGTTCGAAGCAGGTTATTTGCCCGCCGATTGGAAATCTGCACGGATTACGCCAATTTATAAAGACGGCAGCAGGGTCTTAGCAAACAACTACAGACCAATCAGCATTACTTCAATTTGCTGCAAAATTATGGAAAAAATAATTAAGCGAGAAATAATGCACTTCCTAGAAGAGCATAATCTGCTATGCGATGCCCAGCACGGATTTCGTAGAGGCAGATCATGCATGACAAGTCTACTTTATTGTTTAGATCTCTGGACCCGGGCAGTCGATGGCGGCAATACAGTGCACGTAGTCTAGGTCGACTTTAAGAAAGCATTCGACAGTGTGCCACAGCAGTGTCTCCTGTACAAATTCAGCCGAACAGGCATTAGGGGTAATCTCCTGAGGTGGATTCAAAGCTTCTTGATCGGTCATTCTCAAATCGTCCGCGTCGTGACAGGCAGTCGGCGGGGGTAGCGGTTGAAAGCGGCGTTCCACAAGGCTCCGTCCTTGGCCCTCTTCTATTCATTATATGCGTCAACGACTGCGTCAGTGAACTGAATTGGGATGTCGCCATGTTCGCTGATGATGTTAGACTTTGGAGCGTCATCCGAACTGAATTTGACGAAGTGCGCTTGCAGGCAGACCTGACCCGACTCGAGAAATGGTCACAGGACTGGCTTTTGCCGTTTAATGTGACTAAGTGAAATGTCTTGCGAGTCGGCAGGACCCGATTTCTGAGCCGGAGGGTTTACCACTTAAATGGCTTGACATTGCAGGAGGTAAACGCTCAGAAAGACTTGGGTGTGTGGGTAACGACTCCTCTAAAACCGTCGCTTCACTGATCCAAGGTAGCCAAGTCCGCGATGTCAGTCCTTTATCTTGTCAAGAGAGGTTTCTCTACCTTCGATGAGAACTGCTTCGTTAAAGACTTTCGGACATTTGTACGGCCACAGCTAGAGATCGCCATTCAGTCGTGGAAACCCTGGATCTCTAACGATCTCAGCATCCTTGAGAAAGTTCAAAGGCTGGCAACCAAACTCGCAAGTGGACAGGATTCACTACCCTGTGAACCACAACTATTCAATCTCGGCCATTTCCACAGGGTTACAGACAGCTAAGAGGCGACCTCATACAAACATTCCGTATAATGCGCGGCCAAGACTGCTGCCTCTTACCTGCTGATTTCTTTGAGTTAGCAACCACAACGAACCTCCGAGGTCATCCACTTAAACTGCATGTGACTGGCGCCAGGCTTGGCATTCGGAAGTTATTCTTTTCCGACAGAGTGATCGAGGTTTGGAATGCTCTGATTGCAGACGTCGTCATGTCCACCTCCGTCGAGGCTTTTAAACGCAAGTTGGACCAGCGTGCCACTAAACGTCATAGTGTCACCTGACCGATATCGTCTTAGCATTTCGCTCTGACAGTTTATTAATGCTTTTTTAATTATTGTCCGCATTTCAGTAAGGTTTGTTTTTTATTATTGTCCCAGGTCCGTTGAATGTGAGTGCTGGCATTCAGTTCAATTCGTCTCAGAAACTGAGATAGCACCAATTATCTATAGATAGACTACTGTACAGCAAATTTAGTAACGTTAATGTTTTTAACACCTGGAACAATTCGTTTATCTGTCTGGTTTCGAAAACATCGTCAATCTGAAAAAAAACTTCTGTTGCTGTTGGATGCTTCCATTTTCAAATTTGTGACATACTTCACATCCTTGTAACAAGTAGCTAGTTCAAAGATTCGAAACCTATGTTTCCTTCAAATAAACTGAAACTGAAGTTGAATTGAGGATTCTGTCAGCTTGA